TAGCAACTGACAAAAAGAATAAATACCAAGGACAAAAAAAATTTAACAGTGGCTATTTCTTTCTCACATAAAGAAGTCTGGGGACAGTCCAGTGCTGCCAAGGCACTCCAAGTTGTCAGGGACCTGGGCTCCATAAATGTTATTCCTCTATTATCCTCAGTGACAGTGTCTGTGCTCCAGTTGGCAGGAAGGAGATGAGGGGGTGGGGGTGGGATAAGCCACTTCCCTTTAAGGACATTTTCCAGAAGGTGTGCACCACTTCTGTTTATATCCCCTTGGCCAGCACTAAGTTTTATGTCCAAGAAAAAAAAAGGGAGGACAGAGAACACATTGACAAGCAGTCTCTGCCACACGTGGCCAGTCCCCATCTCCCATTAGGGCTGGGAAAGTAGCAGCAGTGCGAGGAAAAGATGGTGCAGTTCAACAGGGGAGAAAATCAGAAAAGAGCGCCAAGACCCGGGCCGGCGCAGGAGATGGGTGTGCGTGCGGTGGAGGGAAAATCTCGCCTGTGGGAATCAGGGTCTCTCGGATCCTGGACTCCTTCTGGTGCTTAACCCTTAGCCTTCTCAAATAGACCTTCCATCTCCTCCCCAGATTCTCAACCCTTTCCAAGACCCAGCTCAGATCTCAGCTCCTGCAGCCTTCTGCTACCCACCCAAGCACCTACTACTTACCTGAACCTAGCTAGACGCTGAGCTAGGTCTTGTTGCGTTTTCATTTCTCCATGTGTAGGTGACCCAAAGAGACAGCATATTTCTGGAAAGCAGGCACAGTACCTTACATCTTTCAGTGGACATCATCCTTCCATATTCTCTTATTTTAGTTTAGGAATCCCTGCCAAATATCCTGTTTTGGGGAATCCAGGTTTAAAAAATCCAGTGAATGTAATTTGTTCAAGAAGACATCAAGTGTTAATTTATACCACCAGCTTTCGTGTTCTAGTCGGTACACAAAAAATGGGCACTAGGATAGGAACATTTGGGACTTAGTAATATGTTTTTGTTTTGTTGTTTGGTCTTGATTTTCACAGATTTGCTTTATAGGTAACTCGGAGCTATCAAAGAGTATACTTGTGAAAATTGTTACATGTGGCTCGAAACTGCATTTCAGGGATGCGTTAAGTGAGTGGCAAATGGGAGGAGGGAGCCTGATAGTCAAGACGTAATACTCTGTTTCATAAAAAAAAGAGTATTTGCCCATTTGTTCACAAATATGTATCAAGGGCCTACTACTTACTAGGCACAACGTCAGATAATGTGGGGTCAGATACTCTGGGGGGTTAAGGATGACTCAGACCGGGATGCAGCTCTCAAGAAACTTTAGCCTGGTAGTTGAGAAACACACACTTAAGTGTTAGTATGTAACCTTTTAACTGTTCCTTTAACTGTTGGAGAGTGGAAGAAACCCAATTAACAGAAAGAGGACATTGCTGTGCATTGATCAACAGGCAACCTAGTGGCTTAAAGCAGCCCTTGACTTAAAAAGCATGGGGAGTGGGGTAGGGATGAGTGTCAAGGTGGAGCGGACAGTATGAATCCAGGTAGGATGTCAGGTATTCTGACTGTAGGGGTGGAATTTGCATGGGCCTGAATGGGCTGAAATTTGGGCCTTTGCAGTTGTGTCTGTTGTTAGGTGTTACCTGCCATGCTGACTCTTAACGTGTTTTGCCTCTTACCTCAGTATACCCCGGGGTTTCGGAAGGGGTGTAAAGAAAAGAAGATGTGAAAGGCGAGAGAGAGCCAGATTGTTGAGGATTCCAAATGCCAGGCTAAGAAGCTGAGAGGCAGTGGGGAGCCATGGACAAGTGTGGTCTTGAAATCAGGTGAAAGAAACTCCCAGCTTCACATTTCCTCTCTATCAGATATTTACTGTGTGAATTTGGCCAACAACTTATTTCTTAGGTGTAATGAGGATAATGATACTGACATCACACGTGATAACACAGTCACGTCGTGTTGCCCCACAGAAGTCATTAAACATTTTGTTCAGCATAACACACTGTAATATGGCTAATGAGCCTTACTGAGCAGGCTATAAACGACAACTTGATAAAATTATAAATGAATTCATTCTTTTATAGCTACAAAATTATTCAACAGATCACTCATCCAGATCTAACAGCTCCACTTCCAGAAATGTCTTGACACTTCTTGAGTAGTCATGCTGAGGCTTGAGGAAGGAGGAACCCCTGGGTCTCTGAGTCAAGGACACCGCAGGGGATCCAGGTGCTTGGGCGGCCCTCTTCTCTGCTTGCCACCCAGGGAGGCCCCTCAGCCTAAAAATACCTGCCTGCCTGGGAGGGAGCTGGGGTGGAGGAAGGGAGGAAGCAGTGCTGGGAGGCCTGCGTGATGGGAGGAGTTTGGGAGAGAAGGTGAGAGGATGCCAAGGAAACCTTGTTTAACTGAGCGACTTGGCGTAACACTAGACCCTGTCCTTTTTCCTTTGTTGTGGAAAACAAAAGGTGCTCAAGAGTGAGGCATCTCCCTGCTCCCCTCTTCCCAGACCCTGTTCTACTTGGCTCTGGCCACCTAGAGGTGGCAGGAGCGTGTGGAAGGGGAGAGGAGGGTGGTGTGAACACCAGTGGGTTCCTGGGTTCTCATACTTAAGCTGCTCCCCTGTCGAGGCATCTCACATCTTCCAATTCTACGCTTCTATCCTGATCGTATTCGGGAAACCCCTTCCCCCTTCCTATGCCACTCCCTCCTGGACTTGGAGAGCCTTCTGAGCCAGGGACCCAAGGGTGACTGCTCAGCAAACAGGTGATATTCGGGAGGCATTTCTGGTTGGCATCTCTGGCATTTGCACCTTATAGTGTCTAGAAACCTTGAGATACTGAAGAGGCCCTGGGAGGTGGGAAAGAATGCAGAAAGGACGCAGAGGTAAGAAAATACATGTGTCCTCATCTACTTCACCAACCAGAGAAAGCCCTTTAGGGACTGTGTCTAGCTCTGGATTGCAGATGGTATATCTGGACCACCTCAGCTCATCAGCATGCATGTCTTACTGTGTGACAATCAGAAACCAAGATCTGAGGTCCGTGGAAAGGAGAACTGTGCTTGGCAGATTGAGGGTGGGGAGAGAGGAAAAAGAAAAAAAGGAAATGAGCAACTGGAACTTGGACGAAGATGGCTCTGGCTGAGCTAATGAAGGGGGGGCTTTAGATCTTTGGCTTGAAGGGAATGGACATTAGGGTGGATGCAGGCAAGGGATGGATGATGGATAGAGGTTCCCCGGAACATCCCACCATTGAGGGTATACAGAGTCCCATCAAAGGGTACACAGACGTGGGTAATTTTAAGAGAATCAATTTCCAGATCGCTGTTTCCATGTGTTCTTTCCTAAAACCGATTCCTCTGAGGGCAGATCCCGGATGTCATGCTAGTTCTTATTCCCCATCTCAACCTTTGCAAAGGCCCTGTGGCACTTTTCAAACGGAAGTTGTACCTGTCACTGAAGCAGCATCTTACTATGGTGCACCGCCTTGCAGGGGAGTCCTCCAGGGCACCAAATAAAGGGTCAACTTGAAATATTGATACATATTTTGCATTGATTTTAAGTAGAACAAGGTGAAAGATTAAGATTATAGTTTCAAATTACAGTAAATTATGTGGGTTATTTTCTTAAATATTTACTCGAACTCATAGGGGAACAATTTCCTTTATTTTGCCAAAAGGCTATTGTGTATTATGAATCTATATTTATTTTTTAATTTGAGTCCAAGTCTCCTGTTTGCTTCAACTTTTCTGCACCTTTAGTGACCCAGTGGCTTCCCTTCTTTTTCCTGGTAATTTCTACAAAATATTGTCTTATCCTAGCAGTGAGCAGTAGTCATCTGTAATACATAAATTGATCTTAAAAAAAAGCTAGCTTTCTTTTGTTTAATGATTATTTTTAAATTTTATAATTATTTTGTTTCACTCAATTACATACCAATATAATTGCAATGATAAATCAATCTGTAATACTGATTAACATGTAGAGTCTTGTGGTGATAGGGAATTTTAACTTTTTCAATTCTGAATTAATAATAATCATAATGAATAGTCAATCTAGAAAAAATTTAATATGTAAAACTTTAGTTTATGTACATATTTGGCTGCTGAGAATTATGATATGGTGAGCAATTAAAGGTGTCCAAGCTTTAAAGTATATTATACTTAAATAAAATTCTGTGGGTAACATACATGGAAATAGGAGTACAAAGAGGAATAATAAATGATGGAAAATTTCTGGCTGTTAAAGAAGAGCTTGTTCATGTGCTTTTTGAATAGATTGAAGGTAGGTATTTCATACATTTAATTGAGTAATTTAACAATTGTAAAAGTCAGTGTGCCAGAAGTTATATATTTCTCAATTATTTAAACTTGCAATAAAAATGTTATATGGTAACTTAAAAATGTGTGAGGATATATAATTTTTCCAAGAAAGTTAAGAGCTCCCAGAACAAAGTATCTGGTAGATCTCTGCCCTGAGAGGTGGGAGACCAATGCAGAAAGAGGCGGCCGGTGTGGGGGAGGGCGGCGTCCAGCCGTGTTGCCATTTTGCCTGGAGCTGGGGTGGTGCCCACATCACCCCTGAGCTGTCTCTGCTTTGCTGTCAGGATGTCTTGTCTGGCTCTCCAAGAGGACACGGAGCAGATGGACCTGAGCTGGAACACTTCACTCTCCGGCGTGCTTGCGCGGATGCGCACAGGCGTGAGGCCGGACTCTGTCCGCGGGCCTGACTGTAAGTGCGCCCTGCGGTGCAGCCTGTGTTGGTCACAGCCCTGCAAGAGAATGGGGGTGACGCATGCTTGCGGGGAAACTAATTAGACTCCCTGGAATGCTAACACCTGGGTCAAGCCGCCATTTAAGTGAGAAGATACGGTGTTCAAAGTACGTGATGGAAGGTGTGGGAGAACGTGGGTTATTCTGTGAGCCTCCGCGGCCTAGAGCCCAAGGTGACGCTGCGCGCAGGAGTTAGGCTTCCCCCGGCTCAGGCTCCCAGGCTCAGCTGGGCCTCTCTGTGCCCCTGTCTGTGGTGATGACTCAGCCTTCTCATTGACCTCATCTTCCCTCTGCTGGTGCTGCCCGCTCGGTGCATTTCGTCCTCCTCTCCTCTAGCTCCTAGGAGTCTCGCCACTTGCTTGGGATGTTTGCCAGCAGAGGCTGTTTTGGGCAGAAGGTACACTGGGTTCTCTGGGTCTAAGTAAAAGCCAGTTCCTTTCGGAGTCAGTTTCCCAGTGGCTGCAGACGTTACTTTCTACGGTGTGCCCAGTTCTCACAAGGACAGGCTGTGTCCGGGAGTGTTGACGCGGGAGCTGGCCTGGCAGGAACACGGCAGGTGGGAGGGATGATCTGAGGCCAGCTGAGACACCCCATTGGCAACAACAACCAGAACATAGGGAAATGAAGGGTGTTCTCAGGCAGCCACAGCCCTGTGGTCCCCATGGCTCTGGAGGCCAAAGAAAAGCATGAGGTTGTGAAGTGGCACCTCCAGTTTGAAGTTAAAATCGTAGCCTGCCCAGTCTGCCCTTTCCTTAATGAAATCGAAAGTCGGCTTTTACGATGGGGAGATCTCACTGCACCGTGGCCTTCAGATCAGTGGTCCTCAGGGTGGTGTGTGAGGCCCATGAGGTCAAAACTATTTCTGTAATGATATTAAGATTTTTTTTTCTTTAAAGCTCCTTCTCTCCTGAGTGTGCAGGGGAGGAAAATGCTTTCCTCTACCCTCTTAGGGTTCCTGGCTGGGTCTGAAAAGTAAACTGACAAAGACAGATGAACAGGAGAAAAGTAGACACTTTTTAAAAAATTTTTTACATGTACATGGGAGCCTTCACAAGAGAATAAAAACTTGAAGAAGGGACCAGAGAAGGAAGTTTTTATACCTTTCAGACAACCGAACAATAAATCTGTGAAGAATAGACAAGGCAAAAAAGTTTGGGCTACACATAGGAATATGGTAAAGAAATAACTAGAAACATACGAGTTAGTTTAATAAGGTTAATTTGCAGATTCTTCTGGTGCCATCTCTGGACTGATAAGAGTCTATCTCCAGAAATAGAAGAAATTATTTTCTGCCTTTAGGCAGATAAGGGGGAGTTTTTTCTATGTTTACTGCTTCTTAATTGCCTTCAGCTCAAAATAAATCTTAGGTCAAAGAGGCATATTTTGTAGTGACACACTCTGGTTTCCTTCAAGTGTGTCGTGGAATTTTCCAGAGGCTTCATGACATACGATGACATCTTTGCTCTGACAAATACAATGTATGCTTTTGTGTTCTTATGTTTTAAAGGCTCCCCAGCTTCAATTGCTACTACAGTAAATTTCAATAGCTGTAACCCACTAGGTATAACAAAAGCTTTGGCGTTTCCAGTTATTTTTAAGAGTGCCAAAAAGTCTCAAGACCAAAAGAATGCAAGAATTGCTGCCTTAGATATTTTATGTCAGCACTTGTTTTGTAGATTTGGAGAACGAGGTTCCAAAGAGAGGAGATCAGTTGCTTAAGGTCACACAGAGCTTGAGGCAGAAAATCCTGTACGTACCGCAGTGCCCAGGTGACCTTGCTGCTTGGCTACGGACCACAGCAGTGTTCACGCCCCTCCAAGTATATGGGTCAGGGTCTCATCTGCCCCTTTGGTCTCCTGCCTCCCTGTCCACCACCCCTGGGAAGGAGGGGGTCTTTCAGTGTAAGAGAATGCAACAGAACAACGCCACAGGAGGCCACTGATGTTAAGAAAATTGGCAAAGTAAGGTTTGTCTGTGCTCCTTGCTGAAGGCTGTTAGGTTTCTTTGGGGGGAGCCTGGAGCCGATCAGTCTGGGACCGAGCAGGTGAGGTCGAAGCAGCAGAGCAAGGCAGATTGCTCTGCAGCAGGCTCAGTTTGGATGAAAGGTGACCAGATGGAAACCGTCAAGGTCTATTTTGTTTCATCTGTTGGACCCCAACCTTGTGATCCAAATCTGTTGTGACTAAGGTTTTCTTCTTTCTGTTAACGTACTGCTCTTAAGGCCCTTTCAGACACCGTGGGGGATAACAGTTGGAGCCTTAGAGTTGTCTAGTGCACTTGGCCATCCATTCAGAGTTGTTTGTGGAGTACCCACCATGTGCCTTGCACAGATCTGGGCCCGAGGGATATGGCGGTCACAGACAGACACAGGCCCTTCTCTCATGGAGACTGCCTTCTAGCAGAACAGTCCAGCTCCTCCTTTTCAGATGCCAGAGGCTCAGAGAGGTGAAGTGACTTGTCCACAGTCACACAGCTAGGTGAAGAAAGAATTTGCTGAGAATCCACCATATGCCTGGCCCCCTGGGGCATACAGCAGAAACAGGTGGTTCAGTCTGTGCCACAGATGAACTTGTTAGAGAGTTGAGACATATGCCCAACATAGTATTGTAAGTATTTAGAGGGCAAAGACTAAGAGAGTATAAAGTAAATGTTTAATTGCTTTAATTATTTAAGGACACTTTTTGTTTAAAAAAAGTCATTCGGGCGTTAGTTTTTTGTGTTTGTTATTTGTTTCTTGAAGGTTCAATTTATCAAGCTACACGTTTAAAACGAGTTCTCTCAGATTCTGCTTATAAATGGATTAGGTTTGTAAATCTGGAAAATTTGAAAAACCACTTTTGAAAGCCTTAGATGAAATGTTGTATCACTCACAAATTCAGTTGAGCTACTTGAAATGTTTTCAACTGCCCGTACAAATTTAATACATTTGATTTCCTTTGTAAGTAACTTAATTGCCTGGTTTAACAAAACATCTTGAGTACCCAAATAACCTCTTAAAGAATTAACAAGTCACACTCTTGTAAGTGTGGTGAAGCTTAAGTTTTCTTAGATGTGTCAGTACTATAAAAACAGTGAGATTTCTACTTAAAATCGAAAGTCTAAATTAGTTACTCAAATTAAATTAGCTAACATTTTAAATTGAAATGTCAACACTGACCTATTTACAACCCAAATAGGCCATATTATCCTAAATGTTCAGATATCTAAAATACCAAGTGTGCACAGATATCTAACACTATATATTTTTTTTTCTTTTTTTTGTTAATAAATGGAAGTACTGGGGATTGAACCCAGGACCTCCTGAATCCCTAAATATTCACTCTATTCCTCACCACCCCTTTAATATAAAATGTTAATACTGTTGTTTGATACTCTCTAATATTCTTATGCCAATTTTAACTCTTTCTGAAATAAAACAAATTAGGGAATAATTTAGATCATACTGCCATATTCTAGGAGTTACCTTCTTCTGGAATTTTGGGGGTTGCTTTCTGGACTTCCTGGAGGTTGTACATTAATCAGCGATTTTGGCATAGATACTGACTAGACCCTTACCTGTGGCCCTGATGTCAGGAACACCTAAAGTGGTGTCCCTAGGCATGATTCTACATTCAGCTTAGGCAATAACTGTTGTTCAGCTTCCACTCAGACTTGTCATTTGAACCATTTGATTTAATTTTGTTTTTTTGTTTTTGATCTTCAGTCAGACATGTAAAAAGTATTTTGTGTCAATACCCTGGAATTGAGAGAATCCTGCCCTGTAGGATCTCTTCTGTTTTTAGAACCTCCTAACTCCTAGGAATAATGTCATTGATGTGTGTTCCACTGAGGGCAGTGAGTCATTTCCACACATGACTCATGATCAGTCCTACTTCTACTTTAAAGTCACATTTTAGGATGAGGCCCCAATCTTCAAGAAATTTAGAGCTGTGCATTCTTTTCTCTAATTCTATCATGAGCTTCTTAAAGGGTTACATTTTATCAAACATACCTCTTGATATCCCTCCCCGCACTTAGCACAGGAGACTCAGTACATCTTTCGATTTAACAAATGTTTGAGGAATTAAATAAGAAACTATGCTGAAAAGGTAGAGTCAGGCGGAAAACTGAGTAGAGTTGATTGAGTGCAGACAGGGAATAGAAGTTAGTCTTTGAAGAAGTTTAGGAGCAAAGAGGATACAAATGAATGGAAAGGAAAGGTGTAAGGAAGAAAACTGTTGGTTAACCGCAAGTGAGTTTTGAGAAATGAAATAACGAACAAACGTATTGAGTGCTTACTACGCGCCAGACTCTGTTGTAAATGTTTTCTTTGTTTTAACGAACTCATTTGACCCTCCAAATATCCCTGTGAGGTAGGTATCATTATTCTTGCAATTTTCCAGAATGAGGAAACTGAGGCACAGGGAGGTTAAGTCATTTACTGTTCTACTGGTTACGTGCACTGATTTACTTTAAGATACCTCAGCATAAACTGAAGTATGGTGCTTGCACGTATAATTGAACCTCAGCCTCAGAGATAGGCAGTGAGCCTTTGAAGTCTGCTAATCAGGAATTCATGCCCCAGAGGTGGCCGAGTCCCCAAAACCCCCTCCCCACTCTTGCTGGCGGGTGGTGCTGTCAAAGTGTTGTTCTACCTAACTTGAAGTGACTTTTTCATGCACGGTGCTTGCTGGAGTGCACGAGGGTGGAGCAGGGCCAACTCAAGCTTACAAAAACAGATCTGGGCTGACAGTTTTGTTCCCTCTCGCCAATAAACGTTTGCACTTTTTGCAGAATTGGGGCTAAGATTCGCCGCCAGGGCAATCTGTGCCTGTGAGTGAGGTTGCTGGGAACTGCTCTACCCCTGATCACCAGCGGTTCCCATTATCAGGCAGAAACCCTGACAGCCGTCTAACTGCCCCATTGCTGGGGGCAGCCTGTAGCTGCTCATGTCACACAGCTGGAAGGTGTCAGCACTGG